TCACCACAGCCTACGGGGAGGGGAGGACAGAGCTCTGCCCCAGGAAGTCCAAGTTCTGGGTGGGATGTCTTACTTGCTCAAAGCAAAGTAATATAGTCTGGAAGACGGTTTTTAGGAGAACAAATGCTAGAACAACTTAACAGCCAACAAGAGAGCTGGGTTCACTTGTTAGGTTCTGCAGTCACTGAGAGGACCTAAGCAGAGAAGTGACAATCTAAGGACCGTGTGTCAGGAGAACTTGGCAATGGTGTTGTGAAATATTTGGTCTGAAAAATTATTACTTACAATAAGAAAATTCAGTAAGGTGACCAAGTAAATTTTATTTTATTATTTTTTAAAATAATTTTTTGAATTTTTAAAATTTTTTAGTTGTTGATGTACTTTTATTATTTATTTATTTATATATGGTGCTGAGAATTGAACTCAGTGCCTCACACATGCTAGGCAAGTGCGCTGCCACTGAGCCACAATCTCAGCCCCCCAAGTAAATTTTAATAAATCAAATAAATTTTGTGTGTCAATAAAACCTACTAGCCATAAAAAGATTAATAAAATAATGTATGTAGGAGATTCTGAATTCATAATACAAACAAATGTTGGCAAAAGAATCTGCAATACTTATCACTCTCAAAAGACATTTTCCTTAATATACAAAGAGCTTCTAGAAATCAACAACCTAACAGATTTAGGGGGAAATGGACTACAGATTCAGAAAAGGAAATTTCATACAGCAGAATTTTATGGCCCATTAAAAAAAGTTGATGATGCTACATGTACTGATACAGAAAACTCTAAGGTATTTTGTTAAGTAAAAAATAAAAAAGCCAACCTCACCACAGAATAGAGGATGTGATGCACCATCGTTTGTGCACATTTTATCACGTCTGTGGAAGAACCTGTGCCAGTGGCTGCTCCTACACAGTTGCCCCTGCTCCCAACCATCATCCTAGCAGGTGACCAGCATCTCAATTTGCTTGTAACCGAGGGGATTTCCAGGAAAGTATGCCTGTGGGTTAAAAACCAGGGCAGTCCCAGGGGTCACTTATCTCCAAGGTCATCCTCTGTGTTGACTTGTGTATCTGCTACTTTCCAGACTAGATTCTGCGCTGAGGGAGGGGACTCCCCATCTGCTTCCTGGCTGTCCTGGCCGCTGGGAAGCCTATTAGAACAGGAAGGAAGCCCAGGGACGGTCACACTGGATCTTGAAGTATTTCAGCCAATGCACTTCCCTTCTTCACTAGATCAGAATCCTGTCTCGAGACCATCCCCCTTTTATTGCCAGGCAACAGCTTTGTGTCAGTTATAAAAGAGGCCCCACCTTAGAGAAGGCCAGGACTTTGGACACCTGCTGAACAGGGACACTGCAGGGTAGGTGACTGGCTCCGAAGAGGGGAGGGCAGAATGCTGGGTCCCTTGGGTAGAGAGGTACAGCATGGCCCAACCCACAGGTGAGCTCACCTGCCCATCCAGGGCGTGGCATGGGGCCAGGCCGGGCAGAGGTGGGCAGGAGGAGGGAGAAGAGCAGAGACCTCAGGCTGGGCCAGGCCCAGGCTGCTGTTCCTGAACTGGTCAGCCGGACTCGTTTAGTGCTCCCAGGGCCCGGCCGGGTCTGGGCAGAGCAGGAGCAAGACCATGGTGGGAAAGATGCAGCCCACACTGTTGACACTCTGTGCTGGTGAGTGGCCCTGAACAGTGCCCAGGGGTGGGTGAGACAGGGACTGAGGGCTGAGGGACAGGCTTTCCCAGAGACCCTCAGGAAGGGCTCCTGCAGCACCGTGCGCTCCGCTGGGCAGAACTACACATTCTGTGTTTGGGTAGCATTTCCAGGCCAGTGCCTGGTCAGAGTGGTTCTCGTCTGCATATGAGCAAGTAAAATCCCAGCCCATTGCTGGAGTAAGTCCACCTTTTACTATGTCCAAAGTAGATCCTAGGTCAGACACAAGATCTGACCACCGGGGACAGAGTCTTTGAAACCAGGGTCGTCCTGGAAAATCCAGGATGTGAATCTAGACACACTCACAACCTCGAATTTTAACCGCTGCCTTAAAACCAGAGAGAGAGGCACAATGGTAGGAGTGTCCACCTCTATCACTGAGGGAAACTGAGACAGAGGGGTGACATTATTCAACCAACATCATGATCAGTGCATAACCCAGTAGAGGGCCCTTCCCAGAGGCCAAAGCTCTGCAGCTCCCGGTGCTCTGGGCATGGAAAACTCTAAGGGGACACCCCCGATGGAAATCAGACACTTATGGGTCAGTGGTCATATCCAAACCAAGTGCTAAGCAGTGAAGTCGTTGGGGAGAGTCCCACAGAGCAAGCGCGAGTTGGAAGGAGGGCTTGGCATTTGGCACCGCTGCTAGAAAGGAAGCCGACGGAGAGAGGAAGCTAGAGGTGGGAGATTTTAGGGGTACTTCAGTTCAGTGTGTTTAATCATCACCCTGCAATTCAGGAACTGTCGTGGGCTCCCGGGACCCGGAGATCATGGGGACAAGTGGCAGCCATTCCAGGAACCTCCCACGCCCTGGGAAGTGAGCCCAGAAAGCTTCTGTACAGCGCCTTCCTTTGGGCAGACAGGCTGGCCCAGGACCACCTGGGCTACCACGGGCCTCCGCTCCCTCCCTGCCCTACCTCTCAAAAGCCAGCCTGGGGGCCTTTGAGCAGAGAGCCAGCTGGTGCTGGGGAGGGCTGGGTCACGGGAAAGAGGAGCTCAGCCAGGATGGCCTGGTTGGCTCCTTCCTCCGAAGGGGACTCTCTAGTGAGCACATCACTGTGGGGGAGACCTAGGCCAGGGAGTCTGGTGGTCAGCTCATCCTACCAGATGGGAGGATGCTTCCAGGCTCCAGGGAGGGAGTGAAAAGAGAATGACCACCCTCTCCCAGTCGGGCCTAGTTCTCTGTCTCCTGGGCCAGAACTGTCCCCCTGGGGAGTTCTGCACCCTGCCCCAGGCAAGTCCCCACCTCTGTGGTCTGGTGGCCACTCATGCATGTGAAAAAGTAATGCTGGCTGGGGAGAAGCCAGACCCCTGCTCTCCCAGGTGGGAATGAGAAGGGGCCTTAACTGAATTGCCAGGAGCAGGACATTTCATCTCTTCCTGGGGATGCACTGACCTGGTGAACTCACCAGCAGAACCAGTTCTGGGCACGTTCTCCCACATCCTCATAAAGTGCATTCTGCCCTCACCACCCCCCTCATCCTCCCAGCAGCTCAGTCCAGAAACATGTGCCCGCCCCTCTCCTCCACTACCCCTACTCTAGGGGAAGGGGCGGAGGAAGCAGCACTCTGGCCAACTCGGGACAAACTTCCCCAGTACACTTCCCCTTGTACACAGGGGTGGTCCGGGCAGGAGTGGGATGGGGAGGGCTTCCTGGAGGAGGCGGAGCTCAAGCTGGGCCCTCGAGGACCTGGGCCTGTTTCCCTTCTTCCTTCCTGCACTGGCTGTGCCCACAAATGACTCTGCTGATGGCTGGTGAGACAGGCCCTGGCTCAGTGGACCTCGGGGTGAAAGGTTAATAAAATAGGTACTTGTCACTCCGTTTTTCTATATGCTTAACAGAACACTGTTGAAATTTTAAGAACTGTTTGCTAATCTTGTTCTCAGAAATGTGCTGTCCCTAACTGTGGACTGTTTGCTAATCTTGTTCCCAGAATGAGCTGTCCCCAACTGCCAAACTACAAAATGTAACTTCTCTCCCTGCCCTCTCCAGGAAAAATATATAAGCTCTGCTCAAGCTGTTCTCAGGGCTCTCTCTCTCTTTGCTATAGAGGGAGCCCCAGCATGCTGGTCTCCAAATAAACCCACCCTTCTGCTTTTGCATAAGACAGTCTCTTGTGGTCTCTTACTCCTACGTTTCGCCGGACCCTTACAGGGGCAGCAGAAGGTGTCACGTCGTCTGTGTAGAGGTGGCTCCAGCAGACTCCCTGGGAATATTTGAAAGCCAACTCAGGTCGGGTCCATCTGCTCTGTGTTGTCATAAGCCCCTGACTCCAAGCAGAGTGGGTGGGATTCTCCTGCCCTCCACCTTGGCACCCCACTGCCACCAGGCCTTGGGGACACACCCAGCCCCTCCTCCTCAGCCGAGGAGCTGACTGTGTGAGGCAAAACCGCTTCACCTGGCTGAACCTCGGTCGCTGTCTGTGAAATGGAGAGGGTGGTTTACAGCCCCTGTGCCCTCCCTCAGGCTGGGGCTGTCGACTGGGACCCGTTGTGTGACAAGTTAGAACAGTGCCCGGCACGTCATAAGCACTCCGCCAATGCTCCTTACCACTACGGCTTTGTTGTTTGTGTGGCAAGTGCAGACACAGAAAATTGATGAGGCTCTGGTGACCGTTCATCTCAGGTCTGATCTGGCCCATGCCTGCAAGAAATGGAGTTGGAGGTCACTGTGGATGAGCTCCATATTGTCGCCCAAAAAGCCACTCTGTGCCTGACCCTCCCCAACCTGCTAGAAAAAGGCGCCAATCTGTGCTCTTTCACTCCGGGAAATGTCTCATGGGGCCACCAGACTCCAGGTCTCAGGGGGACACCAGAATCCATGCCAAAGGCTCTGATGTGATAAGGTAGAGCCGAGAGAGGTGCTTAAGGAACACGTGGGGAGGCTCCAGGAGGCCACTGACCAGCTCTGTCCAGGGCCCGTGAAGACTGTGAAGACCTGACCCACCCCCCCACACACATATACACACATACACACACACACACACACACACACGACCCACCTTCCAACAACTACGGGA